GATTTCGACATAATAGTTACGATGAAGCTCGGTCAAGTTCGGACGTTATGACCAGGAACCGATTGCGAAGTGATGCTTAGAAAGAAGGCGTCAGACGATGTGCTCAGGGTGTTAAAAATACACCCTGTGAAGTGAGACGTACTCCGCATATATATTTTCTTAAGATATGCATCAGCCCAAGAACTTGGTAACATGCGTACACCTTCAGTGACCAATGGAACAGGGGCTGTAAGATGAGGCGATTTCTTCCATGCGACACCTTGCAAACCGAAGGGATCTGGGGCAGCTACTCGAGATTTGCCGAGCTAAATCATCGTCAATACTCATAATACACATTCTAAAAACAAGATCGGTGTACCGGTACGCATGTGCGACGTTATATGTTCGTGAAGTGAGGCAAATGTGACGTGGACAACTGTTTTCGTGAACTGCACTTACTGGATAGACGGTTAGTGGTAAACTGGGTCTTGGAAACGACATTAATCTTGCCTCATTCCTGCCCGATTGTGATAATGCCGTCGCAGTACGAGGCGTTTAGAATGACTGGAGATAGCCAATACGGGAGTATTTCCTTCTCCAGCTGAGAGGCATGAGCTTGCGCTGCGCGGTGGCTCCTTGCATGTTAAGTCAGCCCCTATGCTTCGCGTGAGCATGAGTCACCACTATGGTATGCCATCTGGCGTAAATGAGTCCTATCAAAGGGGTAGGAGATACTTACGTACGGTATAAATGTATGAATGTTGTGAAATGCACAAGAAATCTGTACATGGGAGGAAATGGCGGTGAGAGAAGCGTTGAACAACCTTGAGCAAGCATCGCTGGCTCATGTGTAACCATGTGAGGTGATAATTCGACACCAACCGTGGCCTGCGATCGACGTATGGATAATTGCCATGTTCTGGTCCAGTCGAGCTTGATCTGCACATATCCTAGATGGCGAATACCTGAGAAAGGCTGCTGGCGACTATGCTCATCCTCAGTCATAAAGGATTGAAACTCATTGCCATTGTCCGTCAATATTGACAGCACTGATCTAGCGATGTGTCCCCGTGGAGCAGATGACTCTTCACGACCGTATGGAGTGCTCAGAGAAATGCTTTTGTATTGACATGCTTTTCAGGATCGATGCGTCATGTCGTGCGTGTCTGAGAATATGCCAATCTCAGCTTGGAGCTTCTGTCAACCACTTCAGTAGATTAAAATTTCTGTTTCTGTTTCAGGCTTTGTCGATGGGGCAATAGGGTGACTAAGAAAATGTAGCAGTGAAAATCCAGCAAGTGCGAAAGACAGACACTGTAGAGTAGAGCAGGAGTGCCGCCCAGGGAGGGAAACGTAAAAACAAAAGTGACAGAACTAGCATGATGCAAAGATGGAATAAGCAAATACTCCTTTCCTATTGTATATGAAGATCCTATACAACTAGAGGAATGAAGTCCGCACGCATGATCTAGGCAGCAAAGAATGAGGCGAGAGAATGAAAACATGAAATCAAAGAAGAAACTATTGTCCTGTATTTGAGGCAAAAGGAGTACTGTGGGCAAAACTTCACCGTGTTCGATTACAGAGAAAAACGCATTTCGAAAAGAGCAAGAATAATAGAAAGTATAGAAGAAACCAAGTACACATTACAAAGCAAGACGCAAGTCACCCAAAAGAAGAAGAACTATGCTGTAGCATGCTACAAGGCAAGGGCCAAACCAACCTTAGCCCAAACACAGTTAGCTCCCTAAACCACGCCAAGCAACCAAACACCGATGTCATCGCGAGCTCCATCCTAAGCTCGCGACAACACCAAAGCGCATCCCATAAACCTACATACAAACCCAACGACCTGACCACCCCTCCGCCCACGAAAAAACCCAACCCACATCCCCAGCCGCGCCGAAAGCACATTACAAATCGCAGCATGGCCAACGGGCAAGTAGCACGACCACGGCAAACAGGCCCCGAGGCAACGCAGTGCTAACGCGGGAATCAGTTGGGCGCCATTTATCGGCCTCGTAGTCGTTGTGATTTTCTGTTTTGCAGCGTGGTTCCTCGCGCCAAAGGGGGAGAATCAAACGTAAGTTTTTTTTTAATTCTCGGGTGGGCTTGTCGTTGCCGGTTTTCATGCATTTGAAACATGATGACTATATTCCGACATCCCACTCCGATTTCCCTCCACGCACACTCTATCCCACGCATACATACATTCTCTCCAAACCCACGCACAGCAAATGCGCTAACGAAATCCGCCCAATAGTGTCTGGCGCTCCACCCTCGTCCTCTCCGCAGCAGCCATGTATATCATGTGGGCGATAACCTTCCTCGCA